TACTAAAATTGAATGGGCTACAAAACTGCATACCCGAAAATTTTCTATATATTCTAGTTAAAAATTTTGAAATTTTGATGACGATTTTTTTAAGTTTGATTAATTTTTTTGCAATTTGTGCAAGCTTTGCAACTTTTGTTATTATGGTTTCTGATATAGATTGAATTATATTTTAAATGAAAATTATTAAAAATAAATAAATGAATTTGCAAACAATATCGTTTTGAATTTCGTTGCTAATTAGTTGCACGCATCTGTATGTACCTTTGTCTACAATAAAAGTTTAATAAGAACAACTTTTTGTACATTCATTTGAAAAAGATGTTTTTGGGTAGGAAATGACGTTTTTTCAGACCAAGAGGGACGTTTTCTCATGCCGAAGACCTGGCAACACTGCATGCAGTAGTCAAATTGGTGGGATCGTTGGCGGAGTTTTCAGCAGCTTCGACGTCGCCATTAGCAGAATCACGACGTACAATTCCATATGTTTATGTAAATTCTTTGTAATTGTTTATACATTTGTACGTGCAATGGCTCACAGTCGATATGAGCCTGTGATATGTTTTATAGTATTTACAACGTTTTTTTAATTTTCTTGAATTAAAGCAACTGGCTTACTTCACTGTGGCCACTGTAAGTTAATGGATAAATTTTTTGTTACATAAATGTATGTACCTGCATTTAGTCAATAAAGTTTAGGTACAGAGAGTTTTTTGCAATACGGTCAACTGTTTTTTATTTAATTTTTTTTGCTAAGTCTTTATACAAATATTATTAATTCTACGACAAAAACCCCAAAAAGTCAGAATAATCGTAAATTTGGTAATTTGGGACTCTGATTTTTGGGGTTTTCGTCGTAGTATTAATAATATTTGCATAAAGACTTAGCGAAAAAAAATTTTTCGAAACTCTCTGTACCTACACTTTTTGTGATTAACTAATTTCAGAAGTTTATAATTTGTTGAATCAAACGCGACCAAATGTCGAAAAATACCTCTATATATGTATATAGAAATTGAAATTGTTTTTAGATTGAATGCATCAAAATTTTCTTTATCATTTTTTGCGCCTTGTGTGTTGCCGTCTTTAAAAAAAAAATAAAGTTAAGTACCAATGTTCAATTCGAGTTGAAATGAAAAAACAGCTAGTACATATGTATAATCTAAAAATATGTTCTTATTTGGACTAGATTAAAACAAGTCAATGTATGGCTAGACAGGAACTGGCCGAAATCGGACTAGATGGAAACAAGTCAATGTTCCTGCAGGGTCATTTTACCACTTTTCACAAACAAACAGAAATAACAATGGCTGACAGTAAGAGCAAATGTGTGCTGCCATACTTCTCGAAGCTATAAAATACAACTATAAACCATATCATTTTCGTTTTTGATTCAAAATTTGCGCCTGCTGGGCTTTTTATCATAAAATCAATACTTCGATAAGTAATGAAAATTTTTAATTAAAAATCGCGCGATTTTTTATAACAAATTTCGCCTGAGGGCTATAATCACTAAGCGCGGCCGAAGGCCGCCTACGCAGAAAGGTGTTCTCTGCAAAAGGTGTTCTGTCCCTTTTCTTTGGCAACACAGAAAGGAGAATTCTACGTTGTGAGCAGTGTTGCCAGTTCTTCGGCATGAGAAAACGTCCCTCTTGGTCGGAAAAAACGTCATTACCTGCCCAAAAACGTCTTTTTCAAATGTATGCACACAGAATTGTTATTATTAAACTTTTACTGTATACAAAGGTACATACATAAGTAAGGTGTATTATAATGTCATTTTGATAGAGCACATTTCAATTCATTGTAAACTGGTTTGAAATTGTTTATAAAAAAATCATTTATATATATATGATTAAATCATCAATATTTTGGTCGATTGTGGCTGTTTTTCTTTCGTTTATTTAATGTTTATTATTTTTCCATAAAAGCCAAGCTCATTATATAACAAACAAAATATAAATCCACATTTAAAACTTTGTGCAAAAATTATAAAAATTCTGCAAAATTTCAGCTAAATTTTCAAGTTTTTATTCGGATTTTAACGAATTTTTTTGAGTATGCAGTTTGATCGCCCATTATTTTCCAGGGTAATAATGTGCAAGTTTTAAGTTGCCAAAGAATCGCGTTGACTTTTAATATTTTTTCTCTCTTGTAGACATTTGGTTAGGTGGTCGATTGTCGAAAATGCTAAATTACGTTCTGCTAGGAAGGAACATAGCAATATTTCAGGTTTTTTTGCGTTCATTCCATTTTCAATGAAGTCTTAAAAAAGTTGCCTACTTTTTTATAACTTTTTATGCTGCTTTTGCGGTGCTTTTGCGAGCGTGCGTGTTGCAATATGTAGATCTGCTCTTCCTGATTTGGCTTTTAGGGCCGTTTGCACCATGTCTAGTTAATTCTATCCCCGTTAAACATCTTTATCGACGTTATCGACACCCATCATATAAAATGTGATCGATAAAGCAGTTAACGTGCTTAACTGAAGGATGTACCTCCAGTTAGCGTTAACTAGACATGGTGCAAACGGCCCTTAGTGTGCACTTGCTAACATTGCAATAAGCCTCGTAACCTCAAGTGTTTAAAAAACCAGCCTTTTAACGCGGGATCCTTAGTCCAAGAATCAAAAAAAAAATGCGCATGCGCTTGGTATTCATCGTATTTAAGTCATTTGTGTCCCAAGGACACATTTTTTTTGAAGAAGCTGCTGCAAAAAAACAAAGCTTGTTAAGATTTATTAAGAAAATAATTAAAAATCAGTTCTACTTACTTGATTTAGTAACATAGAAAAATTACTGGGTAGTTAAAAAACGTAATTTTTTGCACAAAAAACGTCCGAACGTCAACAAGATACAAAAAACGTCCAAATGACGTTAAAAACGTCAACCTGACAACGCTGGTTGTGAGGGTTATAATCCCTAAGAGCGGCCGAATGCCGCCTACCCAAAAAGGTGTTCTCTGCAAACGGTGTTCTGCCCCTTTTCTTTGGCAACACAGAAAAGAGAATTCTACGTTGTGAGGGTTATAATCCCTAAGCGCGGCCGAAGGCCGCCTACGCAAAAAGGAGTTGGACGCACAAAAACTTTTTTAATAGAGTGGCAGCAGCAATTTACTTCCATTTTATTTTTAACAGTTGCCACTAGTTTTCCTCCATGTTATTTATATTAACAACGCAAGATTGTTGTGCGGATTTTCACCATCGGAATTCGCTATTAAATACAGAATTTCTCAAAAGTGTGCACTTAAAACATCACAAATAGGAGCGTTCCTTATCTCCCAGAAATAGTCAGAAAAAGTCCGAAGTAGTCAGATTTAGTCCAAAAAGCGTTCCTTAACTCGAAAATGACAGCAAAAATGAGAGAGCAACAATCAGTAAGAGTGACTCTCATTAGTCCGAAGTAGTCAGATTTAGTCAGAAGAATTTTTTTGGCAAAATCCTGAAAAGTGTCAAACTCAACTGAATTTAAATTAACGGAAATTAAAGAACATGCAAAATGTGAGAATAATCCAAAAAGTAAAAAAGATGAATTGAAATTGGAAGGAGGTAAAAAATAATTGATATAGTAAGTGTTTATTGTGCTTGTGCTTATGTGTATGTGTTTTGTACATACATTTCTATTCTTATTTGACGTTAGTTTTGTTGTTGCCATACTTTGGACTAAAAATTTGGTTTTTTTGCGTTCCTTTACTTTTTCCTGTAATTCTCTTTTAGTGAGCGCATTTCGCTTACGCTCAGGCGTTTTGACACTTTTCAGATTTTAGTCCAAAAAGATAAGGAATGAACCTAATGTATAAAAACTAATGAATATGTATTCAGTTGAGTTCACTTACTCCATTTATTTGCGTCAAATTCATCAAA